ATTAGTAGTATTTCAATGACTCAATATTACTAGCTAACGTTGAATTTTAACTTTTGCACACACTCATTTTACATAGCTCTCTAAGATATTCTTMTTTTATGTTTTCTGATCTCTCAGATTCTATCCCTTACTACCACCAACATTATACATATTAAAAAAGAAGAAGGGATCAGAAGGTAGAGTTTTTATCTTGATTTTTAACATTTTAGCACTTGGAAATTGTCATTTTGTATTTAATGGAGCAATTGTCATGACAATTTGATGATAATGGTTACATGCTGTTCTTTTCTTTCCATATGTCTATGGTATAGTGGTTGCTATAACAACAGAACAAGGATTAGAAACCATGGCATTTTAACATCTTTTGCACTTAGGATAAGGACCTATGAGGCAAATTTTCAGAAAAGAGGTCACAAGCTTAACTATTTAAATTGTGGGGTATTTATAGAATATAGGCTATATATCTATTCCAGAAATTTGTAGGCAATAATCAGTGTGTCAATAAGGTTTACATGGGCATGGCTGTATTCTAGGGTTATTATTTCAGAGTTATTTTGTACAGTTTGATGGAATTTCAGTGATTTAGTACTGACTGATGTCTGTTCAGGTATGGTAGTCAAGAGCTCCCTAAGAGCTCTTTGGGGATTAGTTTAGGATGAAATGAGAAAACTTTTATTGTAAGTAGACTTCAAGAAAAGATGATTTTTCTAGTAACAAGAGTTTAAAATTGCAGGATAAAAATTTTCTTGTCCTATGATGACTCTGAAATTCTGTTCTCTGCTAATTTCTCTGTGAATAGGTTAGAGTGTGGAAATATATATAGTATTTATGTATTTAAACAAAATCTCCAAGGAAGTAAATTTTCCTTCAAGAAGTATTTCTTCAAGAAGTGAGTAAGCATTTGGCACTAAACTATTAGCCAGATCAATTTTTATAGCAGCTCCCTTGATTTCTCAAGAGGATACTTAATGACCTTCTCATGTCACTTAGTCATTGGTCATTTCTCCTATTTTTTCCTCTCCTCAATCACTGACAATAGAGGCATGGATTTACTAGATATTATGAAGTGTGTGAGGTAAATAGATGTTTTATTTCATCAATAACATCATGGGTCCTAAAATAAATTTTAGGTAATCAAGTGTCTCTGGAAAATATGCTAAAAACATTAAAAAATTCTGTCGCTGACTTTTCTATTTTCCACAGTGGCTGGCAATACACATTTAAAATAGCACACACRCACACACACAAAACCCCAGAATTGTTGGATGAATACAAACTAGTAAGTTTTGCTATTATATTAAAATCACTGCAAAAGTTATTTTAGCACCTATCAGCTGCTCATTACCAAATGCAGAAAATCAATTTGTTAGACAGATTATGGATAACAAAGCAAGGAGACATTCCTTAATTTTTATCATATTAATATAAAATGGAGATAATGTCTAACATATAGCTGAATACATAACAACAATACTCAGTAGACACCTTTTAGTAAATCAATTAAATAATTCACCAAATAATTAATATTATTTCAAATTTTCTCAGTTTTAACCAGTTTGTTCAAGCTTTCAGCATTGGAAAATGCATACTTCATTTCTTTAGAATCTCTAAAGACATGCCAGCAAAGGAATACCATAGATTTAGATAATATTGGAGTTGTAGGCGGTGCGATGGTGTAGTCCAGTATATGTTTGTAAAGAGAATGTAGAGATCAGAAGGAGGGAAGTCCAGAGTCAAAGCAACCAAAGACGAGTCTATTCAAGATGAAAGAAGCCTTGAACTAAAGGATGGCAGTAATATTCCAGAGGAGCAATGGACGTAGAGAAAATAAAGGATATATGTGGTGGTGATGGGGGTGTCAAAAGATATAGTGTTTGTGGAAACTTCCAGAAAAATGAAATCAGCAATGCATCCCATATATCTAGCTTAGGTAGCACTGTGGAGAAAAATATCATTGGCTCTGAAGGACACAAGAGGAAGATGTTTTGGGAAATACAAGTATGAGCCACTTTTGAGATATTAAAATAGAATTCTGAAACGGAACTACAAAATGAAGGTCTAGAGCTCAGAAGGCATTATAACCAGAGAGAGAGAGAATGAGGGAGTAGTGGTAAATGAAATAAGATAATCAACATGTGTGGCRTTGCTAGAGATAAGGCCCAAGGATAGGGCCATGCACAGGGATGTGTACATATGTCTTGATAGTAAATGGATTTCTTGTAAATAGCACATTGTTGGGTCTTGGTTTTTGATCCACTTTGACAAGCTGTGTTTAAACTTTTGTATTTAGACTGTTGATGTTTAAAGTGATACTGATATAGTTGGATTAATATCTGCCATATTTGTTTTGTTTCCCGTATGTTCTTCTTTGTTTTGATTTTTTTCCAATCTTTTTCTGTCTTGTGTGGTTTTAATGGAGCATTTTATGAGTCCATTTTCTCTCTTTTCTCAGCATATAAATTGCATTTCTTTTTCTTATTTTTTTTGAATGTACAACTAATTCAAGTCCAGTTTCAAATAACAATGGACCTCTCCATGGGTAGTACAAATGTAATAACTTTTATCTATCATTACTGTTATTAATTTCACTTAAACATAAGGATACATATACATACATAATACACATCATAAACAAGCATTGAAAATATTGTTGCTATTATTATATCAAAGTGTTTTCTATTAAGTCATTTTAAAATAAGAAAAACAAATACTTCCATTTTACGTTTACTTATGTTTCCTCTGATGTCTTTCTTTTATGTGGATCCAAGATTCTAACATATTATTTTCTTTCTCTCTGAAGAATTTAACATTGCTTGCAAGATCATCTACTAAACACAAATTCCTTCAATTTTTGTTTGCCTGAGAAAGTCTTTTTTCAGTGAAATTTATTTTTCACTTTTGAAGGGTAAGCTCATGAGATACAGAATTCTAGGTTGGCATTTATTTATTTATTTTTGTTTCCTCTCTCAACCCTATTTCCCTCCACTCTCTTCTTGTTTGGCTGGATTCTAAAAAATGAGATCTAATTATTGTCTTTCCTCCTCTTTAGCTAAGATTTTTTTTCCCTCTGACTTCTTTCAGATTTTTTTCTCCATCTTTGATCCTCTACATTTTGTATATGATATACATGAGTGTGGGGTTTTTGTTTTRTTTTGTTTTTGGCATTTATCCTGTGCCACATTCTGAGTTTCCTGGATCTGTGATTTGTCTGACATTAGTTTGGGGGAAATTCTCAGTCATTATGGCTTCACACGTTTCTTCCTTTCTTTATTCTCCTTTGGTATTTCCATCATGCCCATGTAACTTCTTTTGTAATCCCATAGTTCTTGAATATTCTATTACTTTCTTTTTAGTCTTATTTCTCTTTGCTTTTCCATTTTGGAAGTTTTTATTGACATACTTCCAAGGTTAGAAAGTCTTTCCTCAGCAGTATTGGGTCTACTAATGAGCCCATCAAAGRCATCCTTGACTGCTGCCATAGTGGTTCTGATCCCGAACAATTTTTTAATTCTTTCTAAGAATTTCTGTCTCTCTGCTTACCTTGCTCCTTTGTTCTTGTGGGCTAGCCATTTCTTTAGTATCTTAATCAAAACCCTTAGTATCTTAATTCAAAATAGCTGTTTTGAATTCCATCAGTTAATTCCTACTTCTCCGCCACATATAAATCTGGTCCTTGTGTTTGTTCTATCTTCAGACTCTGGTTTTTGCTTTTTAGCATGACTTGTTATATTATTTTTGATAACCCAACATAAACAGGGCAAAAAAAAAAMCCTTTTATTTTTGGTAATATGGTACAGGGTGAGGGGGAAGGGAAATACTCTGTAGTCCTAACTATGGTTAGGTCTCGGTCTTTCATGGAACTTATGCCTCCAGACTGTGCTTCACAAGTGTTTCTCCACATCCCCCCTGACCCAGGTGTGACAGGATGGATAAGTGGGCTGGACTTGGGTGCTTCTCTTCCCTTGTGTTACTTAGGCTCTTGGGGCAGGGGGAGCAATTTAGGAACTAGGAAAATAGTGACCTTAAATGCAGAACTTGTTAAGCACAGAGTGCTCGGGCGTATTCCAAATGGTTACTTTCCTCCTCTCCCTGTCAGAAGAATGAGGGGATGCTTTTTGTTTTTCAGTATTCATTATGAGAACTTGGTTGCGCTCCTGGAGGCAAAACTCAGAGAACTGTGGGTACCTGCCCCCGTGACTGGGTCCTCCTGGGGTTTTTAACGCTCAGACTCACCCACATTGAGCCTCCAGCAACTGTTCAACTCGAGTTTAGGTTTTTATACCCCAGCACTAGTTCCCACAGAGGTTTCTGCTCATGGGTTTCTGCTTCAGTAAGTCGTGTTTCTCTGAATTTGTCTTTCTTTCTAATTTTGGAGCAGTATTTTTTTCCCTGTGACCTCACTTCTCTGACAGATCTAAAAGGACATGTGGATTTTTCAATGTTCAGCTTAAATTGTTGTTAGGATGGGTTGATGATTCCAAGTTCCTTACATGCCAGACCAGAAACTGAACTCTCTTTTTGTACTATTTTTAAAATTTTTACCTAGTCTCTTGCTTGGATTCTTGCTATTGAATTGTATTATACCCAAAGCTATAATTCCATGGAGTGGGCTGGTTTGAGAGAATGAAGCTTTATAGTTTTAGAGAAGCAGAGACCAGTTAGTGAAAAAGGGTCCTGGGTTTGAGTATTCCTCATCATCTTTGGTAATTTGGTGGCACATGCCACCATGTAATCCCAGGGACTTGGAAAGCTGAGGCAGGAGATTGTAAGTTGGAGGTCTGCCTCAGTGACTTAAGAGACCCTGTCTCAAAATAAAAAGCAAAAAGAGCTGAGGATGTGTGAGGATACAGCTTAGGGGTTCAATGCCCAGGACCAAAATTACTTAATTAATTAGATTAAATAAATAAGGATGCATAAAAATATAACTTAAAAACAACTTATTTCTGGTATTTGTAAATTGACTTTTTAAGTTTCTACAGACCTCATTAAAACAATGTCAGATCCTTCTGTGGTTCCTAAGTGTGATGATAGGGTTTCATGTTATTGTGAAATGTGCTTCTCTCAAGCTTTGTTTTGTTATCAGCACATCATCTGTCTGATGTGAATGTAGGCAAAAACCAATAAAAAATAATGTCAGTCCTCTGCCTAAAATTTCCTGTGACACTCCTTAACTTAAATAGCAAGCTGACTGTCGCCAGTCTTTTCAGTGTGTCTTATTCCCTTCCTCATGCCCTCAAATGAGCCTCACTAGACTACTTCATGTTTCTAAAACATGTCATCAGTATTACCATCAGTGTTAAAATAGTTACCTAAAATAGATATAGTTTCCAAACATTTCTGATATTAATAATTAAATAAATTAAAATAGTTTATAAACGTTTCTGATGTTAATAATTAAACAAGTAAAGAGTAAATTTAATTTTAAAGTGTATAATGCTGTTTCGTGAGGAAAAGTCACTGTAAATTGTGAGGACTAAATAGATTTGTGGATATTTTGTAGGACATATCTAAGTATTTTCATAGTCTATAAGAGTTAAGATATTGTTTATTGGTTTTTTTTGTTTTTTTTTTTTGTTTATTGTTTTTTTTTTTTCAAGATGGGGTCTTGCCAGTAGAATGAATCAGACATAACTTTCCTATGTTCACATATGAATACATGACCAATGTAACTCCAATCATGTACAACCACGGATGGGAAGTTATACTCCATGTATGTATAATATGTCAAAATATAGTCTACTGTCATGTTTATCTTTTTTTAAATTTTTTTTATTGTTGGTCGTTCAAAACATTACATAGTTCTTAATACATCATATTTCACAATTTGATTCAAGTGGGTTATGAACTCCCAATTATACCCCATATACAGATTGCTGAATCACATCAGTTACCCTTCCATTGATTGACAAATTGCCTTTCTAGTGTCTGATGTATTCTGCTGTCTGTCCTATTCTCTACTATCCCCCCTCCCCTCCCCTCCCCTCCCCTTTTCTCTCTCTACCCCTTCTACTGTAAATCATTTCTTCCATTTGTATTATCTTGTCTTACCTCTCCTTTCCTCTTATATGTCCTTATGTATAACCCTGAGGATCGCCTTCCATTTCCATGCGATTTCCCTTCTCACTCCCTTTCCCTCCCACCTCTCATCCCTGTTTAATGTACATCTTCTTCTCAAGCTCTTCGTCCCTACCCTGTCCTTGTTTACTCCCCTTATATCAAAGGGGTCATTTGGTATTTGTTTTTTAAAGATTGRCTAGCTTCACTTAGCATAATCTGCTCTAATGCCATCCATTTCCCTCCAAATTCTATGATTTTGTCATTTTTTAATGCAGAGTAATACTCCATAGTATATAAATGCCACATTTTTTTATCCATTCATCTATTGAAGGGCATCTAGGCTGATTCCACAATCTTGCTATCGTGAATTGTGCTGCTATGAACATCGATGTAGCAGTGTCCCTGTAGCATGCTCTTATTAGGTCTTTAGGGAATAGACMGAGAAGGGGAATAGCTGGGTCAAATGGTGGTTCCATTCCCAGCTTTCCAAGAAATCTCCATACTGCTTTCCAAATTGGCTGCACCAATTTGCAGTCCCACCAGCAATGAACAAGAGTGCCCTTTTCCCCGCATCCTCTCCAGCACTTATTGTTGTTTGACTTCCTAATGGCTGCCAATCTTACTGGAGTGAGATGGTATCTTAGGGTAGTTTTCAGATAGAGCCCTAATAACCAGAATATACAAAGAACTAAAAAAATTAGACAATAAGATTACAAATAACCCAATCAATAAATGGGCCAAGGACCTGAACAGACACTTCTCAGAGGAGGACATGCAATCAATCAATAAGTACATGAAAAAATGCTCACCATCTCTAGCAGTCAGAGAAATGCAAATCAAAACTACCCTAAGATACCATCTCACTCCAGTAAGATTGTTTATTGTTTTTATGATATATAAGCTCACAACAAAACTTAGTACTTTTGGTGTTCTTATATAGGTAGCACTTTTAAACATCTATAAGTAAGATATAATTAATGCTATGTTCCTGAAGCTTTAAACTTACAGTGCTATCCTTTCCCTGACCCAGACTATCTGCCGTGGAGTCTCTTCATCCTTCCAGATGACATGAAGTTGGCACAGTTTGGCATGAAGATTCTCGAGTCAAACAGATACCTTCTTAAATCCCAACTTGGTCATTTAGTAGCTGTATGACCCTGTAAATTATGCAAAAATTAGTATATTATCTCATTATACTATAATATGCCATCATTGCATTATATGTAAATAATAAGCCATCATTGCAGTATATGTAAATAATCATTTAACTTAGTTAAGACAATTTTGTGGGGATTAAATAAGGTAATACAAATAACATACCTGCTATGTAGTAAGTCTCAACAACCATGAGCAATTGTAATTGACATGGCTGGTGGCCTCAGGATCCTGATGATCAGAGCTGATGTCTCCCTCATGCTTTGGATCYAAAGGATCTCTGTATAACCAGTCTGGTCCTGAGGACTGATTAGTAGGGGAAAGCACTTTGAGTTCATTCATACTGCCAGATTCATCTGATTTTCTTTTAATACAGTGGATTCCAATAGAACTGGAAAAGCTTTTTGCCAAGGTAATGAGTATCTCTTCCGAAAACGGCACATCCACACAAACTGCACATTATTTTGCTTGTCACCTCAGTGGTATACTGAACCCCAAAGACTTGCCCTTCACCAGTGGGTCTGGCTTGGAGTGCTCAACTCCTGCTCTTTTCAGGACAAAAAAAAATAATTTAAACTTGCTGTCTTCTGAAAACTTGGTTTGTCATCTGAATTTATTCTTTTTACTTTTTCCATCTCTATTCTGATTTATGCTTAAGAGAAAAATTTTGCATAATGTTCCCCTAATTGTAATAATGAGCCAATGAAAGAACATAAAAAAAAAAAGAACTGTTTTTCTGTTTTACTGTGCCCGGTCTTCTAGTGGTACATTAGCCAGAAGTATTAATAGCTCAGTACTCTCACAGCCAGCATTAGCTTTCATCTTAAAATTAATTACCACATTACAAAGGAGTAGATGAATAAAAGAACAAAGACAGCAGACATGCTGAGCGCCATCACACCACGCACAAGAAAGGGGCACAATGGATTAACAGAGAGAATTGTTAAAGCAAAAACTTTAAATTAACAATAAGATTCGAAAAGGTTTTTGTCATGTTCATTAAGGTTAAGAGGTTTGCCACCAGCTTGTTATGATTTCTTATTAGAAATGTGATTCATTATCTCTGAGGTTATACGTTTATTAAGAAAGAAGACAGTGATAATCTAACTAAAGTAAAAAAAAAAATAAATAACACTACTATCTGACAGAGGTTGTAGCATGACATGACTAAATTTCCCAAGAGTTAGGGCTTTTCTTTAGTTGAGCTTGTATGCTCTAGTGGGCCTGTTGATTATTTAAAGAACTATACACTTATACAGGACTGATATTGGAAAACTATAGAGCAGACATCAGCCTACAATGGAAGAATTTTTGAAATATAGTTGCTTACTATCTCCCCCTACCCTTCACCCTCCTTAAATTAGAGTCTCTGTTGGTGGTTTAGGCAGCAGTATTTATTTTTAATTCTTCAGGTGAGACAAATGAACAGAGTTGAGACTCTCCTGTAGACCCTTGTATCAATTTTGGATTTAAAATGCATTTTGATGGTTTGTCTGATTGGAGTCAGTTGTTCGCTCTTTAAGGAAAGTAGCGAAAGCTGAATCTGATATCTCTTGTTTTCAAAATGACGAAGACAGAGCCATCAGTGATCTTTCAAATATGGTTATTTTTTAATACATTATATAGTTTAGGGAGCATATGAGGAAATCAGCCTATTTACACATAAACAATGTTTAATCTAGTTGAGACAGATCTCACACCTTATCTGAAAATTGGCTGGATTTTGCATATGCAAGGTCATCTAATTAGTTGAGAGTCTAGCATCTATTGGCTATCCTTAGTACACAATACCCTTCTCTTCCCTGTTTTGATTCTACTTACCTATATCCTAATAAATTCTGGTCATGTGATCTGTTGTCTTATTGTGTTTCATGACATACATTCTCCTTGACTTTATTAAAAAATATTGTCCTTTGSGGCTGGTGTTGTGGCTCAATGATAGAGTGCCTAGCACATGTGAGGCACTGAGTTCAATCCTCAGCACCACATAAAAATAAAATAAAGATATTGTGGGAAAAAAATGTTCTTAACCTTTATTCACTATTTGGTATCTATTTCCTTTAAGCTTTTTTTTTTTTTCTTATAGGCTTCACCTGCCTTTGTTCTCAATTTAAGCCAACTGATATAGTTTGAGTTTTGGTTATAGGTTCTGGCCTAAAAATATCTTAGAGTAAAGCATCTATCCCAGGTACTTGATGTCTACTGAACACAGGGGAAGTCATTTTTGTTAGATTTATGAAGGCCAAAAGAGTCTCTATTCTTTAGTAGCCATGTTCAAGGATTTGCTCAAATGAAAAATAAAGATTCAAATGAGAGAAAACATTATTCTCCAGAGTAGCAGTCATCAAATTAACCAGTACTTTATAGTTTATCATGTAAAGACATAGATAATAGGTACAARTTGTAGTCTCTCCATCACTACTTAAGGAGGTAGAAAGAGCATCAGACTGGAAGCTTTGTGATTTGATTTCAAATTCTAGTCGGTGGTGGCTGGTTGTGTGGTGTTGGGCAAACTCTTTTAACTTTCTGGTTTTCCATTGTATATAAGTGAATGGAAACAGTTGACAACAGAAGACCTGAGCTCAAGCCATATTTCTTCTTGCAGGCTTTGTAACTTTGATCAAGTCACTTGACTCTCTAAATCAATGGAGGCTAATAGCAATCTCAACTCACTGAATTGTTGTGAAAAAAACTAAATGAGATCATAACGAACAAAGTAGGAGCTCATTAAGTGTCTGAGATTATTTGGTAGCACGTAACTCTGGCAACTATGGAACAGTAAAAAGGGCACAGATTTGGAGTCCAAGAGAGCTGACTCTCCTAGTAACTTTGGCAAATTACTTACCTTCTCTAGTTCAGTTTCCTCTGACTTCCAAAGGATTAAATAAC